ATCATATCGCGTCGTATCGTATCGTATCATATTGTATCATACCACATCGTATCGTATCATATCGCATCGTATCGTATCATATCCCATCGTATCGTATCGCATCGTATCATATCACGTCGTATCGCGTTGTATCGCATCGTATCATATCGTGTCGTATCCAACAATCAGTGATGATGCTGATGACTGTGGGGTGCTATAATAGGAAAAAAAGACTTCAAAATTCATAATTTCATGAATTTTTGTAAAAAAATATCAAAGTATTTCTAACAAATCTCGCACACTCTAACGTATGAGCGTAACTGTTTCCTTATTCTTATGCCATAGGTAGCTCATATGTATTGATTTTCACCGTAAGGTTTGCATGAAAAAAACGTATCACACGGCCCATTGGATAGATTTAGGTGACTACCACCCCTTTTCCACCAAACCAGTTCCAGTGCTGGTTCAGAGCCGGTGCCTGACTTTGCACCACTTCTTTGTGTTTCCACCGCCAAAGCACCGGCCCCAGGCTCTCAAAACTGGTGCTTTTCAGGCACCAGCTCTTTGCTGGGCCAGAGAAAAGCACCGAGTACGTCAGGGGCTGGGGGCGGGGTTATCGTGACCACTGAGACAGATGAATGAAAGGGACACACGAGTGGTGATTTGAGTCGTTTTTCACCAGGAAGTCTCTGGTCCCATCACAGAAGTACTGGAATGACACAGAAGTTTTGCACACACTGTTGTACACTGAAACCCAGTACAACTGTTTCCCACCAGTAGCACGACAGTGGTGGAAAACAGTACTTTTAAAAGTTCGTGTACGGTGGTATTTATGCTTAGAAATGCGGTCTTCTCATGAACAACGGATTGCTGTTTATTCCGCTCATAGAAAAGACTGCATGAGAAAAAAATTACTTGGTTTCATCTTGGACAAATCTGACATTGGTCTGAGCACCGCAGCCCCCAGCAGCAGCTACAGCGGCCTGCAGTGTGGGACGTTCAAGGAACATCAGTAAATTGTAAAGTTGATCAATAAGAAAATGTTCAGCAAGTCATATGTTTGTCCTGTGACAAGGTGGGAAATAAAAAAAAAAGTCTGGAGTTGTGTGTGGACTTCGTGTGGCACAAGCGTTGTTCGGTAAACAGCTGCGTATGCAGTGACATATGGCGTGGCTCTAACTTGGCTCCTTGCTGGTGGAAAAGCAACCGGTTCTTTGGAAGTGCCAGATTGAACCAACTAAGCACCGGCACCGGCATCTGGTTCTTTTTGGTGAAAAAGGGGTATAAGTGGACAACGATTGAAAAACCTTGTGAAGTCAAGAGAAAATTCAAACAATCTTAGAACCCAACCCATCACACGGCCCCAGAAGCTGGATAATCACCTGTATCCGTTGTGTGCTGGCCCCAGACTTCCCTTATAGAGGGTGGAGGGAGGGGAATTCAGTCGATTCTGTCGCTCTAGTTGTCTCTGTTCCTTTATCTTTTTGGGCTGTGGCTTACTGTACGTCTCCTCTCTGCCTGAGATGTAGTTTGACATCCCATAAACTGGGATTATTTCTGCAGGGGGGGGAGACGATAAGAGGATGTTAGACCTTTACATTGATTCAAAATTGACTTTTTTATTTCCACATAAAAAATCGCTGGTTATTAAAGCGGACGCCCTTGAGTACCTGGATCGCCGTACATGGGGGGAAGGTGGTGCTGGTAGTACTGGTGGGGCGGCAGCTCCCCGGGGCTGACAGGGGGATAGAAAGAGTGAGAGTTGGGAATGAAGTGGGGGTGAGGGAGGTACGGGGGCAGGTGGTGTGTTGGGGAGAGAGCCGGAGAGTAGGAGGGAGGGTAGCACTCGGGAGACTGGGGGGTCACCACCACCCGGCGAACCCCTGTGGTGTCCTCCAGCACCTGTGGGAGAGAGGAGAAAAGGAATTAGACAGCGCTCTGTGCAGCCAAACGACAAGTAAGACATGTTTGTGCTTGAGAAATCTGAACTTCAGCACACAAGGAGAAACTCTTTGCAGCTTCTGATTGCTTTATACATCGTTGAATCGAGGTTTCCCCCCCGGACAGTGCTGGTATTAATTTGAGTCAAGTGTTTCAGAGAGCCCAGCTAAATGCCTATCATGCAAAGTTTTTCACTGCAAGAGCAGGTGCTTTGTCTGCTAAATGGTGCATATCTAATAAAGGAATTAATCGCATAATTTATCTGACAACTGAAACAGCGCGCTGACAGAATGTGTTGTCTCCGAAAAGTGGTGAAAAACAAGCGCCGCGGTGCCGTGCAGTCATCAGATGGTCCGCAGATTTCAATAACAACAAGGTTCAAAGCAAATTAACATAGATTCCATACAAGTATTCACTTTCACATTCTGGGACTGGGACACACACACACACACACAAACACACACATTCCAACTATTCAGACACTTTCACAGGCCTGCATTCCAAGCAGAGAGCAAACACACACTCCCTGCCGAGAGGGGAAGTCATCTGCTGGTCCCTAACAACAACAACAACACACACACACAGTCTCACACACACACAAAATAACACACCACCCCAAAAACCCCACACCAATTGAGAAGCAACAGACTCACTGTCAGAATTCAACGCAGAGAAAGAAAGAAGCGAGGGTATGAAAGAGGGTCAGGAGGGGAGGAAGAGGGTTACAGAACTAATCCGAGTGAGAAAAACTGAGAGGGAGGGGGGGAGAATACGAGGAGGAGGAGGAAGACGAAGAGGCCCCCTATCTGCCCCCTCATTCCCTCCTCCGCTGCAGAGGAGGAAAAACAGAGTGTTTACAGGAAAACAGGGGCAAAGTCCCTGCATGAGTACATGTGGATCTGGCCTACATACCCACACATACCTACAAACATGTGCGCACATACGGACGTGTGTCATCACAACGCAGGCATTAGCACAAACCACAACGGACACACGTGCAAAATCCATCCCATCTAGCTTTGCACCATCGCCGTGCCCCCATCCGTCCGTCCATTCAGCCCTCAAACCCCCAATCCCCCTCCCCAGTCCACCCAATCCCAGTCTCCCCTATCAGACTTGTTTATGTAAGAGTGACAGTGTTTCCCGCTCACACTTGGCCCCGTCCCTACTAACACACACCCCCACACACGCAAACACAAACACACACCCACGGCCAGCCAATGACCTGACTTCCATTGGCGTAGGAACACAATCCCACCACACGCGGACCGCAGATGCATTCGTAACACTCCGCTTGTGGGGACGCTCTTGTTGACCCCCTCCTTCCTCCGTGTTTAATCATTTTACTGTCTTTGTAGGGACATTTAATAGAGAATACAAGCACACACACACACATATATATATATATATAGAGGAGATCCAGAAAAACAAATGACCCCTAATTCAGCACATTCCTGCTCAGCACTCTGGGGAGGAGGCTGCCTTGGTGTGTTTCTAACCTACAAAAGACAGGATAGGTGTAGTGCCTGGTCTGTGTGCAATCATATTAATGCTTTCCATTCTGCGTCCACTAGACCCACTTCTGATATATAAAAAAAAAAAAACACCTTACAAGTGAACATGCTAAAGGTACATAAGCCTGTACCAGTAACAGAAATGTGTACCTTGCTATTTTCTATAGCTGCTTCAAATCTCTTTGCATTTTTACATCTACACTGAATCAAATAAGGATTTTTTTTCGGCTCTTTTGCTCTTATATGAGAGAGACAAGGGGCAGGAAAGTGGGTGAGAAAAGAGATGGGCAGGCAGCAAAGGGCCCGAGCTTGAGTATCGCCACTTGTT